TCTTGTGGCCACATCACGGCAGGGTCTAACGTGGTGCTACTACACTGGTCATGGCAGTCACTATAGCCATGGTGATAGTTCATCAGCTGTCCTGTGCAACGCGGCATCCGTCATGGTCTCCGCTGTTGTCTCTAGGTCCCCCGGGGCGTCGTACTCATAGTAGGTAGCCACCCTAGGTCATTGTTCACTTGGTCGCTTCGTGGGGCTGAGGGCCTTGACCCCAATCATTGGGGCCAGGGCTCTCTGCCAACCGAGGAGGTCTCTAGGTCAAGACCCTAGCCATGGATCCCATCCTACGGTGGATGGGATTGTACGCGCGTCCTGTTGGTCTGTATTTGGACGGTGGGCATCGTACCCGTGGCCTTCGCTATGTGGTGTTGTCTTATTGGTGTGACGCAGCACTAGGATGGTGTTCGTTCGAACCGAGGTGACTATCGTCACATCGGTCCTTGAGGAATCGGTGCGGCATGCTCGCCCCTGTCAGAGCAGGTTTGCTAGGCAGGGTCCGACCTCTCTCCGTCCCTTTTAGGGGTCATGACGGGGGAGAGGTCACGCATCTGAGCATCACGTGACCCATGCTAGAGGAAGGGGTCATGAACACCCCTGGCCTCAGTGCCTGACCTGCTCTGCTCGGCGTTTGCCGGGCCTCGGTCATTTGGGCCCTTGCTGATTGTTGCATCGCAGGTCATGCGGCCTGCTAACTTAATCGGTGCCTTGAGACACCCCGGGGTTATGACCCCGACACCTCATGTGTGTTATACACACACCACACACTTACTTAGTACTGTATGAGTTCATGTGTGCCCGTATCATGTGCCTACAGATAAAGCTATTGGGCATATGTATCACGGATCTCACATGGACATATGTAGCTAAAGTAGGGCGGTACCACAGATTTCCAAACAAGATCTCAAACCTTCCTTGTGGTTGCACTAGTCCGGACAACATATCCATTATCGTCACCTCCGGGTATAGGCCCGTGCACTAGCAGACTGTGCAGGGAGAAGCTGCCTATTTTTGCTTCATCAGGTGCCAGCCGCATGTCACAACTGGATCTCTGGAGCTCCACGCGCGGAGGACCTCCCTTCTCAGTGGGTTGGTAGAAAATGCTGCAAAACAACTTCGGAGCTATCCAATAATATGTACCAAATGGCCCCTTTCATAAGTATGATTACATTCTTGTAGCCCTCCTATGTGTTATATACACGCACACCACATTTACATTACATAGTACCGTACGAGTGCATGTGTCCCCCTATCATGTGGCTACGAATAATGCTATTGGGCATATGTACCATGAATCTCGCGTGGACATATGTAGTTAAAGTGGCAGTAGCACAGATTTCCAAAACAAGATCTCAAACCTTCCTCGCGGTTGCGCTCATCCGGACAACATATCCATTATCATCATCTCTAGGTCTAGGCCCATGCACGGAGAAGCTGCCTACTTTAGCTTCATCAGGTGTCAGCCGCATGTCTCAGCGGGATTTCTAGAGCTCCACACGAGGAGGACCCCCTTCTCAGCCGGTTGGTAGAAAATGCTGCAAAACAACTTTGGAAGCTATCCAATAATCTGTATCAAATGGCCCCTTCATAAGTATGATTACATTCTTGTAGCCCTCCTATGTGTTATACACACACAGCGCACTACATTACAAAGTACCATACGAGTGCATCTGTCCCCCTATCATGTGCCTACAGATAAAGCTATTGGGCATATGTACCTAGAATCTCGCATGGCCATATGTAGTTAAAGTAGTGATTTCCATTCTCCCCATACCAACAACCACATTTAGAGTTGATAATACCATGTATCGTGTGTAGTACTTATGGATCCCAATTATGGAGAGTGGAATGCCTCTGAGATCAAAGTGGTGAAAGCTCTCATCACTACCACAGTGCCAAGAGTACCTATGCCAATGACATAAACAATAAGAAAACTAACATTGTGGATGTGCTCCAAGCAAGGTTTCCCACAAAGGAGAAGCAACGGCGGGTAGCAAGCTTGTTAATGACAAGTTTGGGATGCTAGTGGACGATCCAACCATGGATGTCTTGGGTGGTGATTTGGTGGAGGGGAGGAAGGCCAAGAAAAAGGCTGGGGAGGATCCGCATAGCCAACCAAATCCTCAGAAGGAGAGGCAACATCGGAAGTTTTGGACCATGGACGAACACAAGTAATGATTTTCTATGTACTCTCAATTTTGTTTCACACGCTCATGAGTTTTGATCCATTCATTTATTTTGCCTATTTTGGAAATGCTTGGCACATCTTTCATGCAGATTATTGTTACATATATTAGAATGTCATGTGGGGTACGGTATTGATTATTTTTTCGATCAGTGTTGGGTATTGATTATGATGAGGCATTTGAGATTTGTCACTGGACACTAGATGTGTATTCATATGCAATGTTTCATTCTAAACCCTGTCACAATGTAGGAATTTCCTCTACGGTTTGCGTGCGTATGGTCGAAGCGACTGGAAGAACATCTCCAAGCACTTTGTTACCACCAGGACACCATCGCAAATCTCTAGCCATGCCCAAAAGTATTTCCGTAGGATGGAGAACACTGCTAGGAGGCAGCGCAGCAGCATCAATGACGTTAGCCTCTATGATGATATGTGCCCAGGGTGCAAATCAATAATTCAAGCCTAGAGGTGTTCACCTTCACCAGTGGAACCTACAACCCAAACAACTATGGCTCCAGCAGCCAATTTGTCGCCATGAGTAACCTGGCCAAGTAGATATGGTTTCCATCCTTATGTTGTACTAACCAGGCAAGCAGCAGCAGTAACCAAGCCCCTACCTTAGACAAAGGTGCGGCTGGTGGTTCTTGTGTGGCTCCAAAGGTGGAGGGGGTTGGGAGCAAGACAAAACTGACTAGTGATCAAGGGGGGAATTTGCTTGTTGATCAATGGATGATGAACTAGGTTTTACATCTAGCCTAGTACCCTATTAGTCCGTCATATACATGTGGATTATGTGCTATGTCCTATAGTATAGGGAGGGAACAATTTCGTCACAGTGAAACTTTTTGAGTTACTATTATATGTATGTGGTTGTGTGTGTTGCCTTTGCTTGTGTTCTTTGCTCCGTCTATGTCTCAATGAAGAATAAAAATAAAGATATCTTTCAATATTTAAGGGCTTATTTGGATCAATCATTCCCTATGGGGATTGGAGGGAATTAAAAGACGAAATGAACGTACTGTAAAGCAGGTTAGTGTACTTCATCATCGGACAAAAAGAAAAGGTTAACAAAATGTAGTAGACACATATATTCATGTGTAAAAACTTGATTAAGAACTATATACACACGCATGCATGCAGTCAGCGTAATAATTGCATAACCGAGCATGATAAGGAGATTTTCAATTGCCACATATTGACTAATGTCGTCTATATACGATGAGCCAATTAATAAGCTTAGAAAAAAAAAGCGTATGCCAATCTACCGTATATCGTCCCGTTCTCATGGCTTATAAGCCGTACTTTTTCAACCAACGAATAGTATTTTTCGTAATTTCAGCCATGGGTTATCAGCCAACCAAACAGAACATGTACTAGCCACCTTCGACCCCAGCAAATTTAAAATGTGACCCCGGTAGCGGCAGCCCAGCCCACAAGAGAAGACGTCGTTTTCTCATCCTTTGTACAGGCCGGCAAGCCACAAGGGCAAGGCGCAAGCTCCGTACGTGGACGTGGTGTCTTGGACTTCAGTAAGGTTTGTCGATTCCGTTCGTACACCTGGACGCATGCCCCTGTTGGCTCATACGAGATCTCAGAGTTTTCTTTTGATTTTTTCATATGGTTAGCATGTATATATTCTGAATGCAAAAGCTAGCGGTAGTGTTTCTACTTCTCATTGGCTCATTCCAGTAAGTTGTCGGGACACTCAAGAAGCTAGATATGGAAGTGTATCAAACACCAACTCTCTAGGTATGGTGTTATCGAATGATATGTTGCACCACACCTAGAGTGCACCAATGCAACATATCATTTGATCCATAAACTCACGCTCACAACACAGATGGTAAGCAAACAGTTTTCTGGGGAGCCTGAGACTGAATAAAAATCTGAGATAATGTAAAAATCTGAGATAAGTAGTCCATGACACAATAAAATTTTTATAACCAAAGTAGTTAGTTTATGCCGTATACCCTGTATCTACACCAGTCGTGAAGGTCTCAAACGTGCAGTTTGTGTCATTCGTCGGTCACATGGAGAAACTACTCAAGAAATGATTAAATACCAAACCATGCATAGACTCGGTATCCACGCAATGTAGCTAGTTGTTAAAAGAATTTTACTTGCTTTCATGCTCATTTAATTGAGAATATTATATATAACTATTCAATATTATATCATGAGAAAAATATGCATTTATACAAGATTTGAATTGTCCACGACCATTTATGTAGTAGCAACTATTCAAGGCATATGGATAGAGATACATACATATCTTGTAAGCGTATCATACTATGAAGCGCCGCAATCATGAAAATCCGCCACAGACGATAGATTCAACTGAGAGTACTCAATCAAGCCCCCGGTATACTACTATACTGTGTGCCTTAGAGCGGTGGCGATGGTGGTATGTCCATGCGCATCCACATGTCTGGCCCCATCAACGGTTACATACGTGGGTGTCCACACGTGTCCCTTGACACCTCATTTCCATGACCAAAGTGGGCTAATATTAGATCTATGAGATAGAAGCGTACTATCTTAACATTATTCCTTAAGTATAAAAAATTATTTGCACGACTCAATATCTTTGAATTATTATATTAAAACCCACAGTTTGCTCGATACTGGAGTCAGACAATTAACAAAAACCAGGACAAATAGATTCACCACATGGCCTATAAATACATGGCCTTGTGATTTCCATTCTCCCCACACCAACAACCATATTTAGAGTTCATAATACCATCTATCGTGCGTAGTACTTATGGATCCCAATTATGGAGAGTGGAATGCCTCCGAGATCAAAATGGTGAAAGATCTCATCGCTAGTCACAGTGCCAAGAGTACATATGCCAATGACATAAACAACAAGCAAATTGACATTGTAGATGTGCTCCAAGCAAGGTTTCCCACAAAGGAGAAGCACAAGGTAACCAACTTGTATGCTGATCTCATGGTGGAGAAGACGCATATGATGTTGAGCGGCAACCAGCATGCAACGGCTGGTAGCAAGCTTGTCAATGACAAGTTTGGGATGCCAGTGGAGCATCCAACCATGGACGTCTTGGGTGGTGATTTGGTGGAGGAGAGGAAAGCCAAGAGGAAGGCAGGGGAAGATCTGCATAGCCAACCAGATCCTCAGAAGGAGAGGCAGCGCCGGAGGTTTTGGACCACGGACGAACACAGGTTAATGATTTCTTTATCTCACATACTCATGAGTTTTGATCCATTTATTTCTTTCTTCTTGTTTTGGGAATCCTTGTCACATATTTCATGCAAATTATTATTACGTATATTAGAATGATGTGCGGGGTATTGATTATGATGAGGGGTTTGAGAATTCGTCACTGATAATGAGTGTGTATATTATGCAATTTTTCATTCTGAACCTTGTCTCAATGTAGGAATTTCCTCTACGGTTTGCATGCGTATGGTCGAAGCGACTGGAAGAACATCTCCAAGCACTTCGTTACCACCAGGACACCAGTGCAAATCTCTTGCCACGCCCAAAAGTATTTCCGTAGGATGGAGAACACTACCAGGAGGCAGCGCAGCAGCATCAACGACGTTGGCTTCTGCGATGACGAGCCCAAGGTGCAAACTAATGCTTCAAGCCTAGAGGGGTTCACCTTCGCCAGTTGAACCTACAACTCAAACCACTATGGCTCCAGCAGCCAATTTTGTCGCCATGAGTAACCTGGCCAAGCAGATGTGGTTTCCATCCTTATGTTGTACTGGCCAGGCAAGCAGCAGCAGTAACCAAGCCACTACCTTAAGCAGAGGTGGGGCTGGTGGTTCTTGTGTGGCTCCAAAGGTGGAGGGGGGTGGGAGCAAGACAAAACTGACTAGTGATCAAGAGGGAGGTTTTCTTGTTGATCCATGGATGGTGAGGAAGTAGGTTTTGCATCTATCCTAGTACCCTATGACATGGCAACCTATTAGTCTGTCATATACATGCGGATTAAGTGCTATGTCCTATAGTCGGGAGGGAACAATTTCGTCATATTGGAACTTTTCAAGTTACTATTATATGTATGTGGTTGTGTTATAGTGTGTTGCCTTTACTTGTGTTCTTTGCTTCGTCTATGTCTCCATGAAGATTAAAAATAAAGATATCTTTCAGTATTTACGGGCTCATTTGGATCAATCATTCCCTATGGATTGGAGGGAATTAAAGACGAAATGAACGTATTGTAAAGCAGGTTAGTGTACTTCATCATCGGACAAGAAGAAAAGGTTAACAAAATGTAGTAGGCACATATATTCATGTGTGAAAACTTGATTAAGAACTATATATAGTTATATACACATACACCGATACACGCATGCATGCAGTCAGCGTAATAATTGCATAACGGAGCATGGTAAGGAGATTTTCAATTGCCACATATTGACTAATGTCGTCTCTATACGATGAGCCAATTAAGCTTAGAAAAAAAAGCGTATGCCAATCTACCGTATGTACTAGCCACCTTCGACCCCAGCAAATTTAAAATGTGACCCCGGCAAGCGGCAGCCCAGCCCAAAAGAGAAGACGTCGTTTTCTCATCCTTTGTACAGGCCGGCAAGGCGCAAGGTCAAGGCGCAGAGTTTTCTTTTGATTTTTTTCATGTGGTTAGCATGTATATATTCTGAATTCCCCTAAAGAAAATGTATATATTCTGAATGCAAAATCTAGCGGTAGTGTATCTACTTCCCATTGGCCCATTCCAGTAAGTTGTCGGGACACTCAAGAAGATATGGGAAGCAGCAACTGTACTATTCGTCATTCTTCGCGAGTCTTGGGATGGGAGGTAAATTTTTAGAACTTTAATAGAGCGTGTGCGTGCAAGAAATCCAATTCCGGCTGCACACTCCAATTTGAGAAAGAAATTATTTTGTCTGCCCAAAAAGGGGAAAAAACAGACGAGATCTTTTATTCCACGATCCGACGCCCTCGCCCCCACTGCCGGTCACCGCCCCACTGCGGGCGCTAGGGTTCTCCAGAGCTCCGGTGAACCCTAGCGCCCGCGGCGGCCGCCCTCTCTCCCAACCCCTCTCACCCCGCCGCCATCTTCTTCAGCTCCGGCGAGCCTCCCCGGCCCGACCGCCCCTGCCACCGCTAGCTTCCCCCCTAAGCCGCCCATAGACCATCCCCACTGCCTGGCCTACCTGCCTCCCCCGGTCGGCCATTCTATAGTCCACCGAAGTTGCGGAGAAGAAGGGAGAGCTCACTGGAACCCTAGAGGAGAGAGATGAGAGAGAGAGAGAGAGGAGGAGGAGGAGGAGGCCTACCTGGTGCCTCTCGCCGCAAGATCCGACGGATCCGCTGTCACTGTCGCTGGATCAGGCCGATCCACCGCCGCCGTCACTGGATCCGGCCGATCCGCCGCAGCCACCGCCAGATCCGGCGGCACCGCCGCCGCATCCGCCATGGACGCGCGCGGGGGAGGCGGTGGGGCGCGGGCGCGGGGAGCCGGTGCGGCGTGGGCGTGCGGAGGATGCTGCCGATCGCTGTCGCTGGTGAGAGAGAGAGAGAGACTGTGCGGGCGTTCGAGGAAGAAGAAGTGCTATGTGTCGCAGGGAGAGGATAAGGTGTGTCAAGGGTGTGCAGGCGTTCGGGGCTGCGGACGCCCGCCCGAAAAGTAACATTTTCGAAATTTTTAACAAACTTGCATACGGTCGTACAGTTGACTGTTGGCGTGGAGTGAAATATAAGAGATAACTTCTATTATAAGGAGTTTATTTTGTTAGATTAAGTTATCGCTAATTTAATCCACCCGGTCATGCAGGCTGGGAGAATACGTTCAAAAGCATCTCTCGTTAGCCAGGCCCGGTGGATGTAGCGGGATGAGGTGTGGGGTCGACACGTCAATCTCACAGGTGACACAGATTGCATTCGCTCAGCAACCAAACAACATCTTGGTTTTTCTGGAATCCATGTTACATCAAGGTAGACGCACAACTATCCGAGTCCACGTGTCTCTGTATCATGTGCCTACGGATAAAGCTATTGGGCATACGTACCACCGATATCGTATGGACATACGTAACTAAAGTAGGGCGTTAACATATATTTCCAAAACAAGATGTCAAACCTTCCTTGCGGTTGCGCTCGTCCGGATAACGTATCCATTGCCGTCACCTCTGGGTCCGGGAGGGCTTGATCTTGAGGTTGAGCTGAGCACTTAAGTCTCGTACATGAGGAAACACTCGTTGGGTTTCAGCAGTTTGTTCATGCTCCAAGTGCGGTGAGGACGATCCTTGGCCTTGAGTTCGTCCGGGGACTCACCAAACAGCATGAGGTTCTTCCGCATGTAATGCCTCGCTGTCGCGAGAACCTTGCACCAGAGCTGCCGGCTGCTGAGATCGGCTCTCACCATGGCGGCCATGATGTTGGCGGCCATGAACGACCCCCGCGCCTCGACCACCATGTCCATGGCCACCGACGCCGGCTTCGGGTGCTCCTCTGGATCAGCGCTCCGGAACGCGCTCAGGCGCTCAGCTTGAAGAAGTACCACATGGCTTCCGTGCTGAGGCATTTCAGCCGGACAGCTCGTGTTGTCCCGAGCCTCTCGATCTTCTCAGAACGGCTCGTGAGAATCACCTATAGCTCCCCCGTGGCATGCATCCTCTTCTATGAGAATAGAAGAGGCTGTTCCATGCCTCGTCATCCACGTCCCCGTAGAGTTCGATGACAAGCAACCATCTCTCATCCTCTATGTTGCTCTGATGCTTGGTGGCGCACTTGTCACTTAAGGTGGCCATGGTTCCGAGACCTCCAACGCCAGCATGTTAACAACACACTTCAGATAGAGGGGAATCGGAGGAAGCAACAACAAGGGGAGCGAGGAAGGGAGGAGGAGTTCTTCATAGAGTTCAGCATTTGGTTTACATTTTTACAATAATATGCGATGCCTTACACAGCGCTCAGCGCTCGTCTTTTATCCTCACGCAGGCGGAGGTGGAAGAGAGTCACTCGACTACGCCTCCTGGATGGACTTGACCCACGATGGGCCGGACGTCTTCGGGTTGGGCTTCTTAGCCCGGTGTGGTCTTCCCAGGGACGGCCCATCGACGCCAGCTTCCTTGTTGTGCTCATCCAGGACCACGGGTTCAACAGGTGTAACATCCTCCCCCCTTGAGGGCCTGGTTGTCCCCAAACAGATGCCCGTGGAAAAGCTTGCTGCAAAGGAATGAGGTCTTCCCAAGTTGCTAATGAATCAGGCATGTTAAACCAGCGAATCAAACCTTGCACTTTGGAGGACGCGCCAGCAGGAACCGTGCGGCGCTGGAGAATGGCCATCGGAATGCTCCACTGAACGTCAGAGTCTGGTGGAGTAGCAGTAACGGACTGATGCTAACCAACCGATTTCTTCAATTGTGAAACATGGAAAACCGGATGGATTGCAAAGGAAGCTGGGAGGGCCAGTCTGTAGGCGACAGTGCCAACTTTAGCAATCACCTGGTATGGTACGAAGAATTTGAAAGACAGTTTGTGACTGGCACGGGCTGCAACGGATGATTGCACATAAGGTTGCAATTTGAGGAACACCCAATCACCAATGTCAAACTGCCGCTCAGAGCACCTCACATTAGCAGATTGAACCATGCGCGCTTTGGCACGAAGCAAATGTTGCCGAATCAAATCAGTCATCAGCTGACGTTCTTCCAACCAGGTTGCTAGATCATGAGGAACTGACACATCAGCAGCTGAAACACCAAAATGAGAAGGGGCATACCCATATAGAGCTTCAAACGGTGATCGAAACTGCAATTATACCAGTATTCGGCCAGATGAATCCATTCACTCCACTTGGAAGGATAGGCATGAACATAGCATCTCAAAAAGGTCTCGAGGCACTGATTGACACACTCGGTTTGACCATCCGATTGCGGATGATAGGCTGTACTCATCCTCAGCTCAACTTGAGACAGACGGAACAATTCTGACCATAACTTGCTTGTGAAAACTCTGTCCCGGTCAGAGACAATTGCTGACGGCATACCATGGAGATGGTATATGTTCTGCATAAAGGCTGAAGCCACCATTGCTGCTGTGAAAGGATGCCGCAGGCCCACAAAATGTGCATACTTAGAAAAGAGATCCACAATGACAAGTATGGCATTGAAACGTCCAGAAACCGGTAAGCCCTCAATGAAATCCGTACTAATGATTTGCCATACGCGCTCAGGTACTGCCAGCGGCTGAAGGAGACCCGGGAGCCTAGAATGATCTAGCTTGGCCTGTTGACAGATACGGCAAGATGCTACAAAATCACGAACAGAAGCATTCATACCTCGCCAGGCAAAGAGTTGCTTGGCGCGTCTCAGAGTCACTGGAATACCGGAGTGACCGCCAACAGGACTAGTGTGTAGAGCAGCTAACAGTTGCTGATGCAGAACTGGAACCTGTCCCACCCACATACGGCCTTTGTAGCGTAAAAGACCATCACACAGGCTGAAGTGAGGCACAGCTGTTGAATTTGAATCAACAGAAAGCTTAGTGAGGAGTTCCTGAGCATACTGATCATCCTGATAGGAATCGGCCACAGCTTGAGTCCAGGCTGGAGTAGCAACAAAAACAGCATCACAAGTAGCTCCTGGCTCCGAAAAACGGGACAATGCATCGGCCACTCGGTTTTCAGGACCCTTACGATAGCGAATCGTGTACTGCAACCCTAGCAATTTGGTAAAGACCTTCTGTTGCCAAGGTGTGTGAAAACGTTGCTCAGACAGCTGGACGAGACTGCGTTGATCAATGATAATATGAAACTCAGCCAACTGCAGATAACTTCTCCAATGATCGACTGCCATTATGATCGCCATGTATTCCTTTTCATATGCCGACAGGCCTTGAGATCACGGCCCAAGGGCCTTGCTGAGGAAAGCTAAGGGATGACCCGACTGCATGAGAACCGCACCAATACCCACACCACTAGCGTCTGTCTCAATGATGAATGGCTGGTGGAAATTTGGGAGTGCCAGCACGGGTGCTGAAGTGAGTCCAGTCTTGAGAGCATCAAAAGCTTGCTGATGTTCCAGAGTCCAAATGAACAGAGTCCCTTTTTAGAGCAGGTCTGTCAGAGGCTTAGAAATGATTCCAAAATGCCGGACAAAACGCCTGTAATAACCCGCCAGCCCGAGGAAACTATGAAGTTCTTTTACAGAGCTCGGCGGTGGCCACTGAAGGACAGCAGAAACTTTAGCTGGGTCCGTCGCTACGCCGGATTCAGATATGATATGTCCGAGATAACGGAGCTGCCCCTGACCAAAAACACACTTGGAACGCTTCAGCAACCAATGATCATGACGAAGTAACTCAAAGACTGCACGAAGATGGACCAAATGTTCCTCAAATGTTCGACTATAAATCAAGATGTCATCAAAGAAGACCAAAGCACAGCGTCGAAGTAAGGGAGCTAGTGTTGTATTCATGGCCTTCAGAAAAGTTCCAGGTGCACCAGAAAGGCCAAACGCCATGACATAGAACTCATAGTGCCCGGTATGAGTCTGGAATGCGGTCTTTGGCACCTCACCCGGCTTCAGAAGGATTTGATGATAACCAGCGGTCAAATCCAGGCTCGAAAACCAGCTAGCGCCTTCAAGCTCATCGAGAAGCTCTTCAATGATCGGCACAGGGTACTTGGACTTGGCTGTAATAGCGTTCAGGTGTCGGAAATCCACACAGAAACGAAAGGACCCATCCTTGTTTTTCACCAATAGAACCGGAGAAGAGAATGGACTGTCACTGTGTGGAATGACCCCTGAATCAAGCATAGTCTGCACTTGTCGCTCGATCTGATCTTTGATGGCAGGAGGGTTGCGGTAAAGTCGGATAGAAACCGGGGCTGTGCCGGGCAATAGCGGGATTGCATGATCACAATGGCGCCGAGAAGGTAAAATTGAGGGTGCCTAGAAAATGTCCTCAAACTCTGTGAGCAAGTCAGTTAAAGCAGACGGCATAGCAGCAGCAGAATCAGGGTTAGTATCCTGAACAACAGACAGCTGAACCAAAGAGCCAACTGGTAAGGCTGCTCTATCCCCATGTATCACAGCCCCGTCAGATGCATAAGGAAACTGAATCCATTTTTCCAACCAATGAATCTTCATGGGACTATACTACTCGAGCCAATCCATTCCCAAAATCATATCAAAAGCAGTGATAGGAAAAATCTTCAAATTGGAAGTGAACTGTAAGCCTTGAACTGACCAAGCAGCATCAGACAACTGAGCATCACAGCGAATTTTGGCACCGTCAGCGACCTTAACCCATACCACAGCCGAGCTGGACTGAACTCCAGACAGAGAGGCGGCTAGTGACGAACTGACAAAGGAATGTGAACTACCAGAGTCGAGCAGAATCAAGATAGGCTGGCCTTGGAGCTCCCCCTGGAACTGAATTGTGTGAGGAGCTTGAATACCTTGCGTAGCAGCAACCGAGCTGGTAACACAACAATGTGCTCCAGGACCAGTGTCAGCAGTTGTATCCCCACACTCAAAGTCTTCATTGTGACAAAATTCCCAAGTCTCCTGCAGAACATGGAGCGCGATCTGTTTTGGGCAGCGGTGGTCGCGAGACCATTTTTCCCCGCACCGGATGCAGAGTCCTCTGTTAGAATCTGGATCGTACTAGGGGTTACATTCGAGGGGCTACTTGCTGTTGAATAGTATCACGAAACCTAGAACATCTACTAGAGCATGTAGAACGAGAGAAAGAGAGGGAAGGGAGAAGGTGTTGAACCTAACACCGCAGAGGGAGAGGGTTCAGTGGACGCCATGGAGTCGACGATGTTTGTGCTAGGGCAGCGACGGTCGGTGAAGACGGCTTCGGAGATGTGCAGTGGCGACCGGCGGTGAAGACAGTGTCGATGGAGCAGGCGGTGCGGCTGGTGGCTTCCCGTCACTGGCTGCGCCCCTCTCTGATCGGATTAGGGTTTAGATGTCGGTGGGGAGCTCGGCTCAGGTTAACCTCGTGATAAGAGTCGCCGGCCCCCACCTCTTTTTATAGCGCAGGGTGACAGGGGCCCTCCAGCCATGGTGGGCTGGACGCCCCCGATCAGGGCGCGAATCAAAGGGCCAACTGGGCCGTTGGGTCCAGTTAGGATTAGAGATCAATCTAACAGTCTCCCCCTTGATCTCTTTCCATCTTTTACTTTCATATCATTTACTTTTGTTCATTCCATTACAGATTAGCACATAGAGCATGTCTCATCGTCACGGTCCATTGCCGATAGATTTAACAGCTACAACACACTACTCTGTTCTGAAATAGATACTTATCTTTGGGCCTTCTTTTGTCCAGAAATTATAGGCTTTCCCTTAAGCCCATGCCGGCTACATGTTCTCTGAACACGTTGGGTGGTAAGCCTTTTGTAAGCGGATCCGCGAGCATCTTTTCGGTACTTATATGCTCAAGACTTATAACATGATCCCAGACTTTATCTTTCACAACATAATACTTTATGTCAATGTGTTTGGCAACACCACTTGATTTATTGTTGTGAGCATACTGTACTGCCGGTTTATTATCACTTTATAA